TCTAGTGGAAATCCATCCTAGAACCAGCCAGCACCAATGACTCCAGAGATGGATGCCAGAATTCTTCCCTAGTTACCCAAATAACCAGAAACTATCTAGTGTTTGCCAGAAGATTCCACCTCCTTGAATGCAGCTGAAGCAACATGTTGCTCTCTCTCACACCTATATCTTTTTTTTTTTTTTTTTTGCAGTTTTTGGCCAGGGCTGGGTTTGAACCTGTCACCTCTGGCATATGGGGCTAGTGCCCTACTCCTTTGAGCCACAGGTGCTGCCTCAATCTCACAGCTATATCTTTAGTGGGTACATCTGATTGCTGGAAACTAGGTCGTATGCTGAAGCCAGATCTTCATTATTAGCATCCTTTCCAACTCTACATTCAGTGAAGTCACTTTGGTGATTTGGGTGTGTCTGCACCATGAATCTGGGCAATGTTGCTATGGGGCACCATGGCCCAAGGCTGTAATCCCAGTTACATGAGAGGGTGAGGGAGGGGGATCCCTTGAACCTAGGGAGTCGAGGACAGCTTGGGCAACATAGTGAGACCAGATCTCTAGGGGAAAACAAACAAACAAACAAAAACTGGTCAATGCTAGAAATCAGGGTTTCCCCCTTCCCAGCCATTGTTAAATATTTACTGATCACACTACAGATCTCATGCCAAATGCTAGCTGCAAGGGCATCTGGGAAATGTAGGGTTTTTTTATTTTCCAGCTTCTAAAGAATAGAAAAGCAAGGTAGAAAGGGTTTGGATGAGTACTGAATAAGTCACCTGATAGTATCCACCACACAACTATGGCTTTGTGGTAAGAAAAGATTTCCATTGCCTTTTGCTTTAGATTATAAATTGCTAACAGGCAGAGTGTTAGCCATTCAACAGTACTGGTACAGAAGACTCGGCAGGCTTTTACTGAGGGCATGACATGATCAGGTCAGTGAACTAGAAGAGATGACAAAATGTTAACTGATGATTAAAATACTTTTTTGTGATGCTGAAATGCAATACAATAAACCCCATAAGGACAAGGACCATGTAGATATCTGACAAAAAGTAGCCACTCACACAGAAAAAGATGCTTTACGGATATTAAGTATAGAGTTCCATTTTTTCATTTCTCCTGTGTAGATCAAGCCATTCCAAGAGATTGTACTTTTTTTTTTTTTTTTTTAGAGACAGAGTCTCATTTTGTCACCCTCGATAGAGTGCCATGGTGTTACAGCTCACAGCAACCTCCAGCTATTGGGCTTAGGCAAGTCTCTTGCCTCAGCCTCCTGAGTAGCTGAGACAACAGGCACCTGCCACTACGCCCAGCTTTTTTTTGTTGTTGCAGTTTGGCTGGGGCCAGATTCGAACCTGCCACCCTCAGTATATGGGACCGGTGCCCTACTCATTGAGCCACAGGTGCTGCCAATGCAAGTAATTGTACTTTTTTAGGTGAGTTGGACTTCTGAATGTGGAAACTTACTATGATTATTTTCACATACATTATCTCAGTTGAGCTTTATAATATCTTGAGAAGAAAGGAATTACTATCTATTTCATAGATGAGGAAATCAGCCCCCAAAAATAAAAGTGATCTGTCCAAACTCAGCCAGCAAATGATGGTTTAAAGCTCTCATTCTTGGGTGGCGCCTGTGGCTCAAAGGAGTAGGGAGCCAGCCCCATATACCTAGGGTGGCAGGCTCGAACCCTACCTTGGCCAAACTGCAACAACCAAAAAAAGAAGAAGTAGCGAGGCGTTGTGGCAGGCGCCTATAGTCCCAGCTACTTGGGAGGCTGAGACAAGAGAACTACCTAAACCCAGGAGTTGGAGGTTGCTGTGAGCAGTGTGACACCACAGCACTCTACCAAGGGCGACAAAGTGAGATTCTGTCTCTTAAAAAAAATAAATAAAAATAAAGCTCTCATTCTTCTACTCAAACTTTTAGAACTTTTTCAAGAAAAATATATTTATAAAACACATTTTATAGTGGTTAATTAGGTGACTGTTGTCAGGTTTTCAATTTGAACAACCACTTAAACTAAATTACACGCAATGGACACAACATTTTAAATTTCACGCTGCAAATGTTTGAACTATGGTTGCAACTGCCTTTCTAAAGTAAATAATGTTGATTCACAAGGTAATGGGAAAGAAATCTGGTAGAAAAGCAAATCTGTTCATTTGATGCCTTTATAATTTTCAAGTTAAAAATAGTGTAATTTAAAAATCATGGATATACTTGATTATAATAAAGTACAAGGATTCTCAATTATATATATCTTTTATCTACCTTAAGAACCATGGGAGTGGCAGGTAGGGTTGCTAACAATAGTCTTCCAAGCCCCATCCCCCAAAATATAATTTAGTAAGGGCCAAGTATTAAAATTTAAACAACACCCTAGGTTATCACAGAACACTATGAGAATCACTGGCATTGTGTATATGACATTCGGCTTGTACAAAATATTTATTTTAATAAAAATCATCTTAGCATGGTAGTCAATGTTTTTAAATCACTTGGATAGCCTTCTAAAACTACAAATCAATTTAACAGGTTTTGTTTCTGAGAAATGTTACTAGGTAATGTCCTTGTATATTAGTAGAAATCTGGCCATCTATGTTTATAAGATGTTCTGAGGTTAAAAATTGCAGCTAATTTACTGTAGTAATTGGTGTCAAATCCCTTGCAGTGGTTCTCACCCTTCCTAATGCTGGCACCCTTTAACACAGTTCCTCATGTTGAGGTGACCCCCCAACCATAAAATTATTTGCGTTGCTACTTCATAACTGTAATTTTGCTACTGTTATGAATAGTAATGTAAATATCTGATATGCAGGATGGTCTTAGGCAACCCCTGTGAAAGGGTTGTTCCACCCACAAAGGGGTCGTGACCCACAGGTTGAGAACCGATGCTAGAGCATAACCTCTTATTAGTATTTACATGTGTTAATTTAAACACAGCTTCTTTGCAGTGACCTGTTTCTTCGGGCCTTTTGATTCTCCCATTTGAAGACCGACAATGGTTCTGAATGAGGAACTCTAACAGTTCAAATATATGGCACCTAGTGACCATTAAAATGCACCTGTATAATACATGAGCATGAAAGAATGAGTTCTAATTCAAGGGTAAATTTCGAACTTGAACCCATGGTTTCTGTCTCCTGTAGCTTAAATATTTTTGTTGGCAAGAAACCTCGTTTTACGTATGAAGAAACTGAGAAATCCAAATTTGTCCAAGGTCACGCCCAATATCAGTGACCAAGTCAGACAAAAAAAAAAAAAAACCAAAAAACCCTTGGTTCTGATTTAAACGCCAACCCAGCTGCATCTGTTATCTATCCTTAAAAACAATTCCCTGAGCCGCTTCACTGAAGCCTCTAGATTTCTGAGTAAAGTTGTTTTGTCTAAGGCTCCTTCCCACACCCCTCCTGCTTTTATGCCTTCGGGTAGTAAAGCCCTTGCACAACGTGTTAGTGCGTAACATTGTAGTCCACGTCTAATGCGGTGACTTTAACGGGCCTTTTTCTTTGGCTAAAATTTTGAGAGGCTCTTAATCCTACGTTCCACTGGGGGAAAAGGGGAGGAGAAGCGGGAGGTCACTGTGAGCTGACAAGTCCTTACATGTACTTGCGCGTGCCCGGACTCAGCCTGGGGACAGTGGAGGAACCCAAGGAAGGATATATTAGGGCGAGAAAGAAGGAAGGAGGCGGGAGAAAAACACGGTGGTGGGAAATCCCTGTGCACTGGCTCTGCCAACCCCTGGCAAAGCTGGGAAGAGCCGTACGTGAATAAATCTCATTAAGTGGCCGAGTGTAGACACTGCAGAAGCGCAGAGGAGGGGGCGCGGCAGGCTGCGCCGCACGTTCGGGGGGG